TAGAATAAGAAATAGAATAGAATCCAATATCTATCTACGCCTCTGCCCATCCGTATTCTATTTAAGTAATATTCTGGGGAATGAGAAATTAATTCGTGTGAGCCGAAATCCAATGTTGAGCAATGTCTATTCATGCACGAGTCAATTGCCTGCGCACCCTTTTCCACGTCTTTGTCTGTGCGAACCGATATTACTGCCCGGACTCAAACCCTAAACCCTAAACCCTAAACCCTAAACGCTAGACCTTTTGAGAACCCTTTACTATTTTGAGGCTTCATGAAGCCTTCCAGCCTTTCGATTCGCTTCTGATAGGATGCCAATGTACTTTCATGCTCCTGCTGCTTTGCCTCGAGCTTCAGGCGCAGCTCTTGGTTGGTGGTCTCGAAGCTCTCTCTCTTCTTCCGCTCCTCTTCCAGGCCATTTCTCATCGCGACAATTTCTCGTTGTAAGTTCAAGCAGGTTTCGCGCGTTGCGCAACAGCTCTCTACCACACCGTGAGATGCATCCTGATTTGTGCGATCCATGTCGTACGCTCGAATGTATGCCTTCTGAGCAGCATCTTTGTCCCCAGCATCGTCGAAAGCCTTTGCAGCGAAGACAGCAATCTTGGCAGCATGCACGCGCCGACTTGCTTCTGCAAGCTGCTCTGCAAGAGTCATGCAATTTCTTGGGCCTAGGGTCTGAAGGCTTGCATCTGCAAGAGGTAGAGTGGACAGCCAACGATCTGGCACTCTCCTGTGTTGTGCAAAGAATAACTCCAGAAGGATGCCCTCTTTCTCAAGTGGACCACCGGCTTCCAGTTTTATAAGCAAAAGCTTCAACAAGCCGCCACGGACTTCGTGGTTGCTGGAATCGGACGTCCAAGCTTCAGCCAAAAAGTCTTCTCTGTCCTGGCTCGCTGAATCGCAGCGCCTCGCTCGCTCGAGCAACACTGCTGCCAAAGTTGCCGAGAGGCGACCGGTAGCGTGCTTGAGGCCAAGATCGCAGCCATATACACGCTCAGCTTCAGTCACCGCGCGTGCTGGATCTCGAAGAAATTCGGTGGCTGCCGTCAAGAGGTCTTCTGAAAGATCTGCAAGGTTGCACTTAATCTTCTCGTGCGCAGCTGAAAGCACCAATGCTGCCGCGTTCATCCACTGATCACTACGATCTTCATCTGACGCAAGTTTCTGAACATGCAGCCACAAGGACGCTGCGCCACCTTCATGCTGCAACTTTGCTGCCAGCCTGCGTGCCAACAGTTTGTCCAAGCTCTCATGACACAGCAGCATAGGTGATGCACGAGCAACTTCTTGGAATCTGGCAATATCTTGGTCACTGCAGGAATCCAAGTGTGCCATGACATCCCAGTCTTCGAAATTGCTCAGGAATTCCCTAGTTGCATCATCATCTGAGTCATTCACAAGCACGCCCAGCAGATCTTTGACTGCTGTGCCGCGAAGGTCGGCAGGCAGATTTGCCTTGACTTGCAGGAGCCTCGCGAGCTGCCTGCGCGCGGTACGACAGGGCAGGGAAGAGCGGACGAAGGCCTCTGCCCTTTCCAGCAACTGCAGTGCGTGGGCGCTCGTCAGAGATGAGGCCACTGACAAGATTTCCTGGACAGTCTTCTCCTTGTAGCTGGTGATTGCAGTCTTCTGCAGCTGGTTGGGAATGACCTGCGTCACAGCACCAGTCTTGCGACTGAGAGACGTGTCATGACGGAATGCTAGTCAGAAGTGATGGGTTCCAGAAGTCAGAAATAACCAGATGGGGGCACAAAGATCGGGCCACCGCATGAACCAATTGCAACGCACGGTTGACATAACAGCTGTACTTGCGAAGACGATAGTGCAAGCACCTACAAGAAGAGTTGTGCAATCTGCTGGCCAAGTAGCTCATTGGCACAGGACTACAAGTGAGAGGTCCCAAACCATCGAAGTCACTTTACAGTGCACCCCTGGGGGGATCTAGAGAGGAGTCCCCAACCGCGCGTGCAAGCTATACTACTGAGTTCCGGACTACTGTCCAGGAGCTACCTGTAATCTTCGTTCTAGATCATCCAGAAGTCAGGATAGAAGACCTCTTGCAAGTACAAGTCCAACCCAGAACCCTAAACCCTAAACCCTAAACCCTAAACCCTAAACCCTAAACCCTAAACCCTAAACCCCAAGAACCCTACAGGGCAACAAAGGCAGCCCAAGGGGGTCGGGGCTAGAGGAGCGTTTAGGGTTTAGGGTGTAGGACTGAAGCATTAAGGATGTAAGGATGTCTGCATGTCTAATCTCCACACCTTGCTCATCATGACAGGATTGCGAACTCTGAGCCCAATCTCCTATAAATCAGGGTAGCACTTTCTTGAGCAAACTTCTGAATTCAACAACCTTGAACCCAAAGTACGTAAACCCTGAAGCCACGAATCTGCAGAGCGTGGGTACGTGGAGTGATGGCGCTAGTGGACCACTCGCAATTGTGTACTGTACTCTGCTGTCTTCCCGAAACCCTAAACCTCCTAAACCCTAACTGCTAAACCCGAAACCCTAAACCCTACCAGCCTTGTTCCCGATGGGGGTGTTGGTTGTAGGGCTGAAGCCACGACGCTGCAGGGCCTCGAAAAAGCACAGCGCCGGCAAGCAGGGGTGTATGGACAATAGGCATCCCCTTGCTTTGGGGAGTTCTTCTTCATCTTGATACATTGTGGCTTAATGGTAGAATCTAGGATGATGGTCTTACTGCTGCGCTGCATAGTGCAGTTTTGTCGAGCATTGCTTGGAATAGCGCGGGACATCCTCCAAACACCAAGACTCCTGAGGGTTTTATACGGCTCATGCCAGAACAAGGCTTAGTGCCGGTCAGACATCCTGAAATCTGGGGTTTAGGGTTTAGGGTTTAGGGTTTAGGGTTTAGGGTTTAGGGTTTAGGGTTTAGGGTTTAGGGTTTAGGGTTTAGGGTTTAGGCCATTTACAACCCCAAAATCCCACACACTGACCCCTAAACCCTACAGCCTCCATAGGCCTAAAATGTCAGCCACACGTCGAGGTTTCACTCGGGAGCCTCCAGGATGGCGGAGTGCTCATAGGTGAAGCCGTCCTTCTGCAGTTTAGGGTTTAGGGTTTAGGGTTTAGGGCTTAGGGTTAGGGTGATGTTTCAACTACGATGTATTCTTACCCAAGTTACCTTCACGATAAGTCGCCCTCTCCCACGAGTCAGCAGAAGAAATTCAGTGATGTGCCAACTTGCAACTATAGCCTGACCCAAAACCCTAAATCCATGGGTGTGACCAGCTGCGGGCCTCAGCCACAACTGGATGCTCCATCCTTGGTTGCCAAGCTAAGGCTGCATGTGGCCAGGGTTTCGGGTTTAGGGTTTAGGGTTTAGAGTTTGAGGTTTAGGGTTTGGGGTTTAGGGTTTCGGGTTTAGGGTGTTATTCGGGTGCTTGGTGGGTACATGGCAACCCCGACGCCTACCAATAGTGCGAACGCACTGTCTGCGAGGACTTTGATGACCTGTGCTTTCATAGAAAGCCCAAACACAGGGCCCCATGTCATAAACATGCTGCGTACTGCTTGCCGCTTCTATGATATACGACGGTATGCTCCCGCATACTCTACGACAGTATACCAGTCCACAAAGCTCCTGTGTGCTACAGTATGACCTTCAATCTATACTTTTTTATAGGCGGAATGAACCTCTGTGATGACATTCTGTATTCTGAATCACTTTGGGCAAACACAGGTGGCAGGCGCTCGGGGCGATCCCTGCTGTGATGGAGGGTCCGATGCACAGTGTGAGGCATGCGTGCATCAGTATTTCGCACTACCCTAAACCCTAAGCCCTAAGCCCTAAGCCCTAAACCCTAAACCCTAAACCCTAAACCCTAAACCCTAAACCCTAAACCCCGCAGGATAATCAGTACACTGCAAAGAACATGGCAGGGCGGGGCTCTAAGGGATTTAGGGTTGAAGGCTGAGATGTGGTACCCCACGCTTCAAGGTCATGGCGCACATATTGTATTGTCGCATCATATACTGAAAATGAATAGTAGAATATAAACCCTAAACCCTAAACCCTAAACCCTAAACCCTAAACCCTAAACCCTAAACCCTAAACACGTTTGGAGGGGAAATGGGGGATGGAAAGGAGAGATGCATCTCGGCCAAGCCACAATGTGTGCAGGATGGGGCACACAAACTCTTCCGGATCAGTCAGAAGCCGGTTCACCTGAGTTTGAGGGTTTAGGGTTTAGGGTGTAGAGTCCAGGACCCATGTCGTGTTTTGGGATGGTACGGGTCGACTCTGATTGGACCTGGCACTGCACTGTATACTCGTACTACATCATAGTAACATAGCATGTCCTGCCTTATCTCACCCCAAAACCCTAAACCTTATATGTGACGCTAGATCCTCTGGTACCAATTTAAAGCACAGCATCATAGTTGAGACACGATTGTTGTGCAAACTGATATTCTTTTGTATGAATGGCTACAATATATGCTACATAGTGTATGCTGAAGCGGTACATTTCCCAGCATGAGCCCTTACGAATCCATGTCGAGCAGACCTGCTCTTCATTAGCCACTGTACAGTAAGCCAAATCTACATATCGTATGGTAAAGTGCAGTTTTTGTCTGCATTAGCCACTGTACAGTAAGCCAAATCTACATACCATGGATCCGCTGCGGAACCGGTGTGGGAGAAAAAATATCGTATGGTAAAGTGCAGTGGCCGTCCGCTGAGTAGGAAGCTCAAATCTATGTGCAGGAGGCTGTGTACTACAGAATTTGTATGGAAGGCAAACGCTACTGATTCAGGGGCAGCGACAAAGGGTTTGTTTCATGTTGCTGACAAGGACACAAAGGGCTTGGGATTGCTGAGGCGCTGCGTTGCTGACTTGCGCAACTTCGAATTCTAAATTAACTCAACTAGCTCTCAGCCAAATGCCTTCCGGATTAGCTATGACATCAAAATGTCGCATTCCAATGGTTGCTAGAAGAAAACTTCATCCTCTTTGGATTTCTCCAAGCCCGCATCTTCGATGGCCTAGCTCCTAAGTCATCACCCCTCCCCCTGCAACAAAACTCAAAACTCTAAACCCCAAACCTAAAAACCTCACCCCTAAACCCTCAACCTTAAACCCCTAGCTGAAATCCTTAAACCCAAGCCTTGCGGACCTTCTGGTACTTTGGGGCCGGGGAGCGAGGGACTCGGTACCTTCCTCGGAAATCTCACCCGCCGGTGAGATGTTTCCAGTCTCCTCATTGGTGAGGATTCTCAGCGGGCAAAGGTAAGGGTGCTACCGTCTTGAGCTCGATATAATTATAGACGCTACTGTGCAGAATTGCACCGCAAGTGCAAGCGACGAGACTATGCGATAGCATAACGAAGTGAACTATATACTACATTTGGTGTTGCAAACTCTGTCCGGTCTGTGCTTTCGTTGTGGCGCTTTGACCTTAAAAGTGGCACCCTGGGTAGAAGAAAGGCAGCCCAAACTGACACCAAGCAAAACAACAACGACTGCGACTACAACTGCTGATGCCAACTACTGCAATGAATCCTAATATGATTACTTGTGCTAGTACTAGTAATACTGATGACAGGCCTTGGAATGCTAGTGGCAGTGGTAGGGTAGTGGTAGTGGTAGTAGTAGTAGTAGTAGTAGTAGTAGTAGTAGTAGTAGTAGTAGTAGTAGGTCGTAGTCGTAGTCGCAGTAGGTAGTAGCAGGAACGGCAGAAGAACCAGCACTAGTCCCAGTCCACCTGCACTCTTTAGCTGAAAAAGTCCCGCTCCTGGCTGGCAGGACTGGCACGGGGTCTCTTACCCAAGCCTGCCACCACTTCGTCTGTGCTCAGGCCGAAGTACCTCAAGCTCGGACTGGGGTTTAGGGGTCAGGGTACGTACAAGGAACATAGAGTATGTGATGTGTTTGAGAGCTTGTGCTGGAAGTACGACGGGAATTCCGCAAGAGGGGGTTGTTGTGACTGTCCTTCTGCAAGATCCTTGCGCGAGCAGCCGCAGTGTGCAGGCCAGCCGTTCTGCTTCATGAAGTTCACCGTTTTGGCATGAAAAGCACTAGCGTGCCAAACAAAAGTCTGCAACAGCTACTGGCACACAACTTCATTGATGTACTGTAACACAAGAACTTGCACTTGCTCTGCGATAGTAGCCTGCACGATAATCAGTATCGCCACAACGAGCGTCGAGCGGCGCAGCAATCTTGTTGACCGGGACGCCGTCCCTACCTCGCATGGAGATGATTGCATCGCAGTACGAAACACACATAGTACAACCACTGTAGCATGTCGTACTTTGTTGACATATGCTACAGAAAACTTGGGCCGATGAATGTAAGCACGCAGTGTACTACAGTGTACCGTACTATCCTGAACCCGAAACTATAGACTTTGCCATGGTGGACGCGTTTCTTGCCGCACGTGCACCCGGTCGCCGAGCCCCAACGACGGGTCCGGCAGCACCACCCTCTGAAATTCTAAGAAAGTAGACAATCAAGACAAACAACCCCCTGTTCTAAAGTGCTTGATAGGTCTTGGGCCCTTGTATCCTGTGAAGCCCTGCAGGGAATGACCAAGGACCCTTCCCCAAGGAAGCCCGACTCCAACCTTAACCCTAAACCCTAAACCCTAAACCCTAAACCCTAAACCCTAAACCCTAAACCCTATAAACCCTAAACTACCCTAAACCCTAAACTTTGCATGACAGTGGCTCATGTTCCATATTGCAAAGAACTTGTCATCCAGGATGTCTTCTGCTTTCCTCTTGACCTTGGAATTTTGGCTGGTCCTATGCACTTGCAGCCTTGATCAACACCTGTATGTACTGACAAATGTCCTGCGATTTGTTGTCTGCTAAGGCTTGGTGCAGATGCACCAGGGGAGGCTCGAAGATATCCTTGCGATCTGCAATTGCATCGAAATCGACAGAGGATCCTGCAGGAGTCTGAGACTTCTTCCTCCTTGCACACCCCCCAACCCATGCTGAAGTAGTTTAAGCGGCAGGTGCCGAAGACATGGCGTAGAAGAGCAGCCGCGGAAGGACTCAACCGGATGCGCGCAAGCCGGCCAAATAGCCCAGTCGAAGAGAAGCGTGCAAAGTCTTCTTGGTTCGGTCCAACTTGTCTGAAGTCACTGAACCGAATTAATCGTAGCTAGAAAACAGCACTACAGCGCTCTGATGTTTCCTCCGACAAGCTCTGGGCCGTTGGAAGGCTGCTGATGAACCGGATTCGCAGCAACACATGGATACGTTCTTGATGTTGGCTTAGTGTTTTGGGTTTGGGTCTCGTTTTGGGCTCGAGCAAGCCAAACCCTCGATTCAGGTCATGTGAATGTACTGCTTCCTGTAGAGTGGCTCCGGTATATACGCAAGATGGAACAGCAAAGCGGCCTTGTCTAGTTCAGTAGCGCATACTATACTACAGCCCCTAAACCCTAAACCCAAAACTCTAAACTCAAAACCCTAAACCCTAAACCCTAAACCCGTCGTCGTAGGTCAGGCGAAGTCATGCACCCAAGTACACCCCGAGGTCGATCGTGAAAACTGCTAGGCCAATCCGAAAACCCAAGTACGACCGTAGCTTGTACCAGCAAATGTAAAAAGCTTGCTACTGCTTCTTTGTTCAAAACGGTTCTTGTTTACAAACATCGTTGAATGCTTTCAAACATGGTTGCCGTTCGCGCTGAGGAGAGTTGCGACATCACCTTTTCTCCGGCCCTCACCTACACAGGACGTAGAGGGGATGCGGGGGGGGGGGGGGGGGGGGGGGGGGGGGGGGGGGGGAGGGATGTTGGAACATCAGCTGCTGATGTGCGTACTATGACCTTGCCGCCCTTTCTAGTCTGCTGTGCTACTTTGTTCAAGTACTATTGTCGTTCAAAGTATACCGTGATGCATGTGTAGTATGTTGTCGTATAAGGCAGACGAAGCAAACTATCGACCCAAAGTGTCCCAAAGCGACGGAATTTCGTATATGGGGAACACGGATCATTCACAGACGTCCAAAAACGACGATACCTCCGCATTGGCCAACCCAAAAAGCCGAAAATATGAATAATGTCCAAAGCGACAACAATATCACAATTCGCAAATCTCCTCCTCTTACAACCCCTTCGTGACGACAGAGTGCTAGGGAATAATCTGCCGAAGCCTCGGCGAGTCGTGCTGCAGCGTTAAAAGTTACATGAATCCTGTTTTCCCAGCCCCCGGCCACAGAATTGTCAATTAACCTTCTCCATTCAAACCCCTTCCCGAATCTTGAGCTGTCTTCTAGGGAGAATAACTCTCTAAATCATCAAGCTGTTACGAAACATCCGGAATCCTCTTCGACGGCCGCCTGATTCTTAGTACCGATTGAAACGGACACCTGATATGAGTGGCATGCGATCACTGCCACCCATATTGTTAAGGTCAACAGCAAAGATTTAGAACGTCTTGCGCCATAGTCATCCAGCTGCATCATCATGAGGCTGCGATTTACAGGCGGTGAGAGAGATGCCCAAATGATGCCTCAGAATCTGTTGTTTTCACGCAAGATTGTCGTCATTCAGCAAGACACAAGCAGGAGCCCGTTTTCGGGCGTCTGCTGTGCGCACGTGCACTTTCATTTCAGTGCACGCACTGAGGGATTCCCGAGCAATACGCCAACCTTGATGAAACAAAAATTTCCGCAAATGCTTGGGGTTTAGGGTTTAGGGTTGAGGGTTTAGGGGTTAGGGTTTGCGGTTTGGGGTTTGGGGTTTAGGGTTTAGGGTTTACGCACGGGAACCCCTAGGCTAGCAGGGGGCCACTTTGCTCAGATTGGTTCATGAGATCAGTGAAATACCTGCAGGGGGAGATGCGCGTTCACATTCGTTGCGAATGCAGACTTGCGAGATTTAAACAACAAAATGCATCTACTGGCTCTTGTTCAGGAACTTCGACTAGGTGACCTCCAACCTCAAGCCCGAAAACCCCAAAAAACGCCAACAGCTGCAGGCACTAACGCTCCGAACCAAGAAACCCTCAGTCCGAGTCCAACTGAAGCCCTGAATCCGGGAAACCCGAATAACCCAGAAACTCCCAGCCCTGCACCTCCTCCAACCATAAAGCAATTGACGGCTTAGAGTTTAGGGTTTAAGGTTCGGCCTGAAGCCAGAGGCTCTGAAATCCTCGACCCCTAATTAAACCCTAAACCCTAAACCCTAAACCCGTACTCCCAGGCCCGACGCCCCTAAAGCCCCCGACCCCTTATGCATCGTAAGACAAACCCTAAAAACGGAGGAGCCACAGGAGTTGGCCCTTCAGACGATGTGAGCATAGTTCTATGGCACCCTAAACCCTAAACTCTAAAACCCAAACCCTAACCCTAAACCCTAAACCCTAAACCCTAAACCCTAAACCCTAAACCCTAAACCCTAAACCCTAAACCCTAAACCCTAAACCCTAAACCCTAAATCCTAAACCCTAAACCCTAAACCCTAAACCGTGCTGTGCTCAGGGCTCTCTTTTACCACCCAACATCCCTGAAAGCACCCAAGGATGCAAACCCTAAAGCCCTCAACAAGGTTGTGACCTAAGGTTGGGACCTAGGGTTTAGTGTTTAGGGTTTATAAGGTTTAGGGTTTAGGGTTTGGGGCCTGGGGTTCAGGGTTTAGGGTAGGGCTTGGGATCGAGTGACCATTAACGGTCTACATTGCCTGTAGCCCCAGAGCGCGTTGGACGCTCGCTGTTTACGAGCCATGGGCCAATCAGATGACGTTTGGCTGGGCGACGGCTTCCTAACGCAGGAGGCGGTCGATGGTGCAGTAGCAGCTGTTATGGCTGGCCGAGGGACGATTTCACTGCGTGAACTCCGCATGTGTCTGCAAGACAGGACGGGCGCGGATTTGTCTACGCATAAGGTTGCAATCTTACAGATGGCTGAGATGTCCGTGCGCAAGCTGAATTTGCCAACTGCTGAGGGGGTCAACAGAAGTTGCCCCAAGCCCGCTGCACAGGACTATGCTGGAACGTGGGAATTGATACCGTTCTCTAAGAAACCCCATTCTAGAGGGCGTGAGCTTTTCATCAAGCTGCATGACGCGACGCCTGCTGCAGGCTGGGGTTCGATGCTTGTGCACGTAGCTCCGCGTGAGGTCTCCTTTGACCAGTCTCCTGACAAGTCGGCTGTAGCGGGCAGCGCTGGATCCAAGTTCCTGATCCCCAACAACCCCGGCGAGGTTGGATGTGAGACAGTTTCCGTCAGCTTGCTTTCTCGCCGCTTTCCTGGTGTATGCGTCACAGGCATGGGCAACAGCATGCGTGATTTCTTCGGCAAGCCTGGGCTTTGGCATGTGAACCATGAGCAAGCTTCCACTGCCGCGGACTCGAAGCACTTCGGCAAGAGCACGTTCTTGAAGAAGGCCCTTGCCGGCTTCTTCCTGCACATGTGCTCGAGCGCAGTTAGTTTCATCAACAGCTTTATTCTTGAGAATATGCCTTTAGAGCTATGGTGGAGCAAGAAACACAACGTTAGCAGAAGTGGTGGCGTGTTTCTCTTCTTTGGCATCCTCCTCGTGTGTGTATTGGTTGCACACTGGTGGATAAGGCCGTCTGAGAAGGCTTCTGAACCGGAAAGGCGCGTGTCCAAGCAGGAGCCTGGTGTGTGGGATCCAGGCGTGTTCGCGGATCCTGTAGACCTCGCCGTTGGCAACGTGAAGCGACTCAGTTGCTGCCAGACAGGGCTGCGCCGCGATACGGTTTCAATGACCACGATGTTGTGCTACACATTGTCCCTGAGTCCGCGGAAGTTCCTGGGTTGTTCCTTGACATCTATCTTCTGAAGGGCAAACGAAGTAGCTGCGGCACTTGAGGCTCGGATGTGGCCGTTGTACTCTAGGCTCTCAGAGCGATCGACGGCCCAGGATTGGCGGCAGTGTAGGGTTGTTGAGGGGACGGTTTTTCAGGACGGGATGGTCCTGCCGTTACATCCCTTCTGCCCTGCCATTTGTTTGCAGTTGTTTTGTTTGAGGGAGGGCTTTCGTGGTAGTTCATGGAGCCGTGACCTCTTGTCCTCGGACGCTTATGCGTCCTTTCACCTGCCATCAGATTTCTGTGTCAAGGTGCAGGGATAGCCATAATGGATCTGCCCTCCCTTGAGCACATACTGGTTGTGCTGCTCCTGCAGCTGCTTCCACCTTTGCAACTTAATTAGGGCGCGTACTCCTCTAACCTTCTGCAAATGGGAAAAATGGGTTTAGGGTTTAGGGTCTAGGGCTTGGTGCTTAGGGTTCAGGGTTTTCGGGCCTCTGCAAGCGGTCGGCCAGGTGTGGCTGAAGGTGGTGAGTGGACGCGAACACCTTGGCCACCTGTCGGCGGTTCTTGGGCGGCCCCCAAAATCCCTTTTTAACCCGACTAGACCCTATTAAACCCTTTTAATCCCGACTTTATCCCTACTAAACCCCACAAACCTTATAAATCTTATATACCTTATATACTTTGTAAACCCTACATACACCCTATAAAAGCCTAAGCCTGCTTAAACCCCCAAACCTGGGGACCTGAAGCCCCCAAAGCCCTGGGAACCGAGGACTTCCTAAAGACCTGCCTGGGACCCTCTTTGTACAGTTTTCTGGGTTATACCCTACGTAATTCGGGTGGCTACTACTAAAAAGGTAAATAGAGTCCCAGGCAAAGCCTACACCCAGGAGAGCGGTAGGGGGAGGTAGGCTGTGAGCACTTCGGGGGGGAAAAACCTCCCCTAAACCCTAAACCCTAAACCCTAAACCCCAAACCCTAAACCCTAAACCCTAAACCCTAAACCCTCGATGCGCTCGTCAGGTCTCTCCCTTCGCTCCGTCAAGCCCGCGCGAAACCGGCAACGCAAAACCGGTGTTATCCAACAATAAGCCGTGGGATGTTCCCCCTTATACTAATAGTCCTTATAGGGATTCTAGTACCCCCTATGATACTCCCTAACAGTCCTTATAGGGATTATAGTACCCCCTTATAGGGATTATAGTACCCCCTAGTATACTCATAAGGGGGAACTTATCCAACAATCAGCCTTGGGATGTTCGCCCTTACACGAACAGTCCTTATAGGGATTCTAGTATCCCCTATAAGGACATCCCCGAAACCCTGAACCCTGAACCGTAGACCCTAAACCCTAATCCCTAAACCCTAAACCCTAAAACCTAATTTTCAGTACTGTTATAAGGGGGAGCATCCCAACCTTTAAATGTCCTGAGCCCCCCAAGCACGGCAGTGGCGCAATACCGGAGCCGAGTAGAGGTGCAGATGTACTAGACCCAAGAGTAGGGTTTAGGGTTTAGGGTTTAGGGTTTCGGGTTTCGGGTTTCGGGTTTAGGGTTTAGGGTACCCTTTTTGGTTTGAAGGTTTTTTTTTTTTTTTTATACGGGGCCTAAACCCTACAAGAAGGGAACCAGGGCCAAATTATGGATCCGAGCGTAGGAGCAGAAAAGGTGAGGTTGCAAAAGCGGGCACAAGCAAGCTCAACAGTGACCGTCTCCATCGTCACGATCAGTGTTTGCAAACTGGGTTTAGGGTTTAGGGTTTAGGGTTTAGGGTTTAGGGTTTAGGGTTTGGAGTTTGGGGTTTCGGTTTAGGGTAAACCCAAAGCTCAGACAGCAACGCTACACTCGTTCATGCGAGCGCAGCTACGTAGTTCTCAACGCCGAAACCATCACCGTGCCTTTCCTAACTACCCATTACGACTAGTCCGAGTGCTTAGGGAAGTTTAAGGTTTAGGGGGGCTTGCGTCTTACAACCCTAGAAGACCTGAGATGGCGGACAACATGGCTTCGAACCTTCGAGACATCATCGCCCGCATAAAGCGCAACCTTCTGTGGCGGCACGTCCTGTGCCAAAGAGGGCCAACAAAAATTGGGCTTAGGGTTTAGGGTTTAGGGTTTAGGTTTAGGGTTTAGGGTTTAGGGTTTAGGGTTTAGGGTTTAGGGTTTAGGGTTTAGGGTTTAGGGTTTTAGGGTTTTAGGGTTTAGGGGAACCCTGCGCTGGCGAAGCCCTGAGGTCTTGCCGCCTTGAGCCCTGAAAGGGCTGGGGGTTTAGGGTCTAGAGGTTCCCTACTGAAACGGACTCAGGGTTAAATGTAAACGTTACATTTTTAAATGGGGTGGTAATAGTAGTATTCGCCTAGCCAGAGGGCCCCAGCCCAAGACTACTTTCCATTACGGGAGGTTTTCGGGCTGATGTGTGCAAACAAGCCTATATAGGGGGGTCCGATGAAAATAATAATGGGCTGACAATTGCAAAATTTGGCTGGCCAGGAATCGAAAGTTTTACTGAAGATGGCTTAAGAGTTCCATTGCAGAGAAGATTTTTCAGCTGACCTGGCTTGAAAGAGCTCCAAGGCTCAGTCTTTAGAGACGCAGAGCAAAAGGAGCTGCAGAGAGCAAGCAGAACCTTTCAAGACAAAGCAAAGCAGACCGTCCTTGACAGCTGACCCCCAAAGACCCCCACAGACCCCCCAGAGACCCCCAGAGACCCCCAGACAACCCCAGAGACCCCCAGAGACCCCCAGAATTCTTTATGTGCACCCCATCCTTTTTCAACCCTGCAAACCCCGGAGACCGAAACTTTATTATTTGTTTCTTTTTTTTTTGGGCGGGGGGGGTTTATTAAAGTAACCCGAAGTTTAGGGTTGAGAGGTCAAAAAACAAAACGTCCTTGGAGATGCTCACCTCCACCAGCACCACCGGGCGCCGGGAGTCCGGTACGCTGTCCTTCCACAAATCCCCCAAACCCAAACCCTAGTTATAACCCTACACCCTAAAGCCTAAACACTAAACCCAGGGTTTAGGGTTTAGGGTTTAGGGTGTAGGGTTTAGGGTTTAGGGTTTACACAATATATATGTATATACACACACACACAACTAAAACCCAGAACGACAGAAGGTTCGGCACCCTTCTGGTTTGAGGTGTACTACTTTCTGTGTGCCAAGCTGAACCTCAAACAGAACTGACTAGAACTTGTACGTGGTCCACGTAGAACCTGCAATTTTCGGGGTGCTTAACAATTGCCTTCCCAAGACCAAGAAACCAAAAAAAAAAGCCAAAGATGCCATTCTTAAAACAAGCCCACGCCGCATTAGCCCTTTCCCTCACCCCCCCCCCCCCAACCCAAAGAAAAAAATGAACCTAGCCCTAAGCCCTAAACCCTAAACCCTAGACCCTAAACCCTGAACCCTACTAACGATTGTCAAGTTCGAGCACCCAAGCCCTACCTTAAAATCCTAAGCCCTAAACCCTGCACAATTTCTAGCAAGCTCTGATTGTGGACCATCACTAGGGGCTCATGGAAGTTCAGGGTTTAGGCTACAGGGTGTAAACCCTTAACCCCAAACGCGAAGGTGGGGCAGGGGGCAAGCAACACCCCCCCCCCCCCTTTTAATTGCTATTGCTGATTGCGGCGTTTTTGGGGATTACTTGTCTGCACTGCTCCCTGCTCCAAGGCAATAAAAAACTTCCGCCTTTTCCCCTAAACCCTAAACCCCAAACCCTAAACCCAACAGTTGACCATGTCGACTTGGCTTGTGGGACCCCAAGCCCTGAGTTTAGGGTTTAGGGTTTAGGGTTTAGGGTTTAGGGTTTAGGGTTTAGGGTTTGCATTGCGCATCCCACCTTGGGAGAAGGGCATGGAATGGTCCTGGGCTTGGACAAACAAAGCTGATCTCTTGGGAGTGGCATTTATGGTCTTAGGATTTAAGGTGGAGGTTGCACAGCTTAGGGGTTTGAGGTTTAGGGTTTAGGGTTCAGGGTTTAGGGTTGAGGGTTTAGGGCAAACCCTAAACCCTAAACCCGAAGCCCTAGACCCTCAACGCAAAACAACTTTAGGGTGAGAGTCGGCTCAGGAAAGATTTCAGGTACAAGCTCGCGACATCTGAGGAAGCCGCAAAGCACGAGTTTCCGCCGAAGAGCATACCCTAACCTAAAGTGTTTAGGGTTTAGGGTTAGGGTTTAGGGTTTAGGGTTTAGGGTCGGGTTCCCTCAGCCCCGCCCAAAAAACGAAATCCCTGAGCAAGTGATTCCCAAAATTCTCGGCCCTGTCTGGGAATCCTAAACTACAAGGATCCGCATTCTTCGTAGGAACCTCAAACAAGGGATCCTAATTTAGGCGCCTAATGAATGCAGTTGAATACAGGAAGGTAAACCGTTAAAACTGTCAAAAACTGCCAAAGGGCCAAACCCTACACCCTAAACCCTAAACCCTAAAACCCTAAGCCTAAACCCTAACCCCTAAACCCTTAACCCTAAACCCGTTCAATCCCGAGAAGTCCCGTTTTCTGAGGACCGGGCGTCGGCGGCGTGCCTTTGGCTTGCATTCGGGACCATGAGCTTTCGGGTTGAGGGTTCAGGGTTTATAGGGCTTATTTAGGGTTTTTAGGGTTTATAGGTTATAGGGCTTAGGGCTTAGGGCTTAGGGTTTAGGGTTTAGGGTTTAGGGTTTAGGGTTTAGGGATTAGGGATTAGGGTTTAGGGTTTAGGGTTTAGGGCTTACCGCAAGGACAACTCTTCCCTCAGAGTCCACAAGGCGCATGGAGCACAAGCTGAAGTTGAGCCCTATGAACACTAAACTTCACAAAAACCTCAAACCGTAGGCAACTACGCAAGGTGGCCAAGCAAAGAGAAGGACCCTAAACCCTAAACCCTAAACCCTAAACCCTAAACCCTAAACCCTAAACCCTAAACCCTAGACCCTAAACCCTATTACAGAAGCGAGCCAGATAGACATCTGATCAAAAATAGGACAGGAAGGCCCATGGATTCCGAGCCTAAACTAGGGCGTAAGGTTTTGGGGTTTACCCGGTGTACCCCGAAGAGCCTAAGCACCAAAAACCCTGCCATGTCCAACTCCAAGCTCAACCTGCAAAGCAGCACGTCCTTTAACTTAGTAGACCAGTAGCCATATTCTGATAAGGGTACCCTGTTTGGGGTTGGTTTCTTTTTAAAGGGACCCACAACCAAAAGAAGGGGTATATAAAGGGTACCACTGGGCCACCAAGTTAAGTGAGGACTGCTGGAGTTCCTCCAGCCTGGGAGCAAGTTTGACCGCCCGCGAGGTTTTGAGAATTGGGGGAAGGAATGTTGACAGCCTGGGGAGCAAACGCAAACCCTAAACCCCAAACCCCCAAAACCCCAAAACCCCTAAACCCTAAACTCCTAAACCCCTAAACCCTAAACCTAGATGAAGCTTGCTGGACAGGGTGCTCGGCGACTTCGGCGTCCGTGGCGCCGAGTGGGTCTCGCTGACCTTTTTGACATGACGCTCCAGGATACTAAGCCCCAAACCCTAAACCCTAAACCCTAAACCCTAAACCCCAAACCCCCAAGCCCTCTGCTTGCGTCCTGTCTTCGTCACTGGAGCGCCATTTGCACAAAACCATAAGCCTCTTAGGCTTCTTCGGGCTTAGGGCGTCTAATAGTTGAAGGGTTGAAGGGTTTAAGGGCTTCAGGGTTTAAGGGGTTAGGAGTCCCAGCCCCTAAGCCCAAAACCCGAGAGACCCTAGACTCGACAGTTTAGGGTTCAGGAGTTCAGGGTTCAGGGGTTCAGATTTCAGGGTCTGGGGCTTCTAGGGTTCAGATGTTTTGGGGTTTAGGGTTTAAGACTTCAGGTCTTCGGTTTGGGTTCAAGGGGGCAGGTTATTCTAGGGCTTAGAGTTTAAGAGTTCCGGTTTTAGGGTCTAGGGTTTGAGAAAACCCGAAACCCGAAACCCTAAACCCTAAACCCGAAGCAAGGGCGAGGCCCGACGTTGTATTTGGCGCTGGCGGGGCTGCGACTTTGGCAGCCTGGCGGCTCAGGAACCGTGAAGCCACGCAGCTGCGGCTTTCGGAGGGTTTAGGGTTTACGGGTTTAGGGTTTAGGTTTTTGGTTTTAAGGTTTAGGGTTTAGGGTTTAGGGCAATACTTGGGGGCCTAGTTATCCTTTGCGGTTCAGTGGTTAGGGAGGGGGACCTGTGCCAAAAGCAGTAGAGGGGAACCCTGTTCAGTTAGTTCTTCAGCACGGTCGTGATGCTCTAAGATGACACCCTAGCTGTGTTGCGCTGCAAACTGCTCCAGCCCCAGCCACGTTGTGTCCATCGCATTTTTGATTTTGGCATCGGAACAGCAGCCTTTAAACCCCAAACCCCAAACCCCAAACCCTATAGACCCTAAACCCTAAACCCTGAAAAACAGACCCTTAGGCAGCACACCCCCCAAAAACACCCCCGCCTCCCCCCCCCCCCCCCACTCCCCCCAAACCCTGGAGCCAGTTTTGGGGTTTAGGTTTAGGGTTTAGGGTTTAGGGTTTAGGGTTTAGGGTTCAGGGTTCAGGGTTCGGGGCCAGAGAGCCCAAACTCTGAACACACCCTCCTCCCACTTAAAAAGCTCCGGACGGGGATGCCTCTCTCGCGACCGTCGGGCGCTCCGGTCACTGGGTGCAGGTCCTCAATGGCTAGGGCTTAGGTCTCAGGGCTTGGGGCTTAGGGGCTTAGGGTCTGAGGGCTTAAGGTCTCCGAGTTGTAGGGGTTAGGGCTTAAGGGCTGAGGGTCTTAGGGCTTAGGCGGGGGTTTGGAGTCCTAAAGCTCAGGGCTAAGGGGCTTACGACCCTGTATCACCCTCTAAAGTCCCGAAACGCCCCTAGAAAGTTGGGAGCCTAACCCGCCCTAAACCCGAAACCCTACAACCCTCAACCCTGAAGCCACTGGGACTTGGAAGCACAAGTCGAGTTCAGGGTTGGGTGCCACAACCTTACACCCTAAACCCTAAACCCTAAACCCTAAACCCTAAACCCTAAACCCTAAACCGTTTCAGGACTTGGGGAACCCCGAAGCCAGGCCATCCCAAAAGTTGCCTCAGAGCCTGAAGAAGGCGGCCAGGCGCGGCTCAGAAGAAACCCGAAGCCAAAAGGTCCGTGTCGCCCTTCTTGCTACTGATACTCCACAAGCTAGTCTGGAGCTCCATAAAAAAGGTTTAGGGTTTAGGGTTTAGGGTTTAGGGTTTAGGGTTTAGGGCTTAGGGCTTAGGGTTGAGAAAAACTGAACAATCCCAAGCCGGCTTGCCATGCAGGGTGGACGGTGGTGCTTCAGCTGAGAAGCCAACCGACATCCTAAACCCTAAAGTCTGAAAGCAGTCAAAAACCCAATGGCCCGAAGCAGAAGAAGTCCTAAACCCTAAACCCTAAACCCTAAACCCTAAACCCTAAACCCTAAACCCTAAACCCTAAACCAGCTTCGAGTCGGCATAGTTGGCTAGCGCGCACAGGCTGAGACCCGCATGGAGCCATAATCCAAGGAGGTGTCCCGAGTTCAAGCTGAAACGCAAAACCCCAAACCCTAAACAAGCGGTGCTCAAAATATGTATATATATATATACACATACACAAACACAGATGTGTTTGTAAGAGTATATATATATACATATGCACATATCATGTATACTCTTGTAGATGTTCTAGTATACATACAGAATGTACGTATATCTATATGTACATAACATCTATATGTATATATACATATGTATATGCATATATATATATATATACATGCATACGTGATATACATATAAATATAAATAAATATAAATATAATATAAATAGGTATATATACATGTATACATATAATATAATATAATCTAACATGATATAATACAATATAATACAATATAATATATCTGTAGATATGTATATATACATATGTATATGTATATGTATATGTATATGTATATGTATATGTATATGTATATGTATATGTATATGTATATGTATATGTATATGTATATGTATATGTATATGTATATGTGTGGTCTACATATGTAAGATGTTATAGCACCCTCCGGCCTCGAGAGCTCTGAGCCGGTGTACTTGCAGGAGCCTGCGTAACCCGAAGTTCACTTTGGGTTTAGGGTTTGGGGTTTGGGGTTTAGGGTTTAGGGTTTAGGGTTTAGGGTTTAGGGTTTAGGGTTTAGGGTTTCGGGTTTAGGGTTTAGGGTTTAGAGCGGTGGAGGGATTTGGGGGCTCAGGGTTCAGGAATTCGGGTTTAGGGTTTAGGGGTTTAGGGTTTTACTATGTAGGTTTGGAGTTTTCGGGTTTTGCGATGTAGGTTTGGAATGATTTTTAGGGTTTTGCTATGTAGGTTTGGAGTTTTAGGGTTTTACTATGTAGGTTTGGAGTTTGAGGGTTTAAGTGTTTTAGGATTTTGGGGTTTGGGGGTCTGGGGGTTTTAGGGTTTCGGTTTTTTTTTGGGTTGTAGGGTTTAGAGCTTTAGGGTTTAGTGTGTTGGTTGGGCTTGAGGTTTAGGTGGGGCTTAGGGTTGTGTAAGGATTTTGCTTAGGGTTTAGGTACATCGTAGTCAACCAGGAAACTGCAGGCGTAACACATAGCTAGAGGAATAAATGAGTGCCACGAGTGCGCGTTTTCCCGTCGCACCCCTGTCGTTAAGCCTAAGCGAC